GGCCCCCGGCGGGCGGGCGGCTCGGGCGGCGCGCGGGCGAGCGGGCGAGCGCGCCGGTGTCCACTTACAGTGCATCGCTCATAACGGCGGCGGCGGCGGGGCCGAGGGCAGGGGAGCGGCCCTCCTGGTATGTGATTGATTATCTGGTATTTATGCCATTGAGGACTTTTCAGCAGTTTGGGGTCAGGGGGTCATCTCATGTGTCTTGCTGCAAATCCGCTTCCTTTTGTACAGTGAGGGCCGGGGGAGCAGAGACACAAAAACAGCTTTTTCTTTTCCTTGGGAAAAAGGGGAGGGGGGCGGGCTGGTGTCAATGAAATTTTTTTTCAGGCCGCTCTGAATAGTGTCCTTTTTAATTCTAAAGAACTTTTAATTAAAAGTAGCAGGAAAGTTCATCTTGACAAGGTTTAACTTACCTTAACAGTTACTTTTGTGTAGGGCCGCTTCGGCCTCTACTATTTTTTTTTTTTTTTAAAAAAAAAAAAAAAAAAGAAAAAGAAGGAAAGAAAGAAAAAAGGAGAAAAATTGGGGGAGACTTGCAAGACTTTTCCCCCCCTTCTCTCCTGCCCCGCATTGGACTTTAAAGCGCCGGCGCCTTTCCTGGGAAGGGTTTCTAATCCCGCAGGGGCCGCGCACAAAGGGGCTCGGGGAATAATGGGCGCGAGGGCTGCGTGCCGCGCGCCTCCCGCGCTCGCCAGGCGCTCCCCGTCCCGGCCGGGACGCGGCACAGCGTGCACGGCCCGCGGGAACGGGCCCCGCTCCCGCATCGCGGCATCGGCTGCCGGCGGCAGCGCCGCGTGCGGCACCCGCGGGAGCCTCCCCGCGATGCCTCCCGCGCGTCCAGCTGCCGCCCTGATTGACACAAAGCCATTCTATAAATAACGTCTTTCTCCCCTCGCAGAAAGACTGGGGGCTTTCGTTTGCTTTCAAGGTCAAGATCAGACCTTTCTAAATAAACACATATCAAAGGATCATTAGCAAAGCAGCGCTCTTAAATTGAGATATTAACTTCTGTCAAGCGCGCGGTTCTTTTTGGTTCCGTAACTCATGACTGCAGTAGGTTTTTATTCTTTTGGCCCTAGGCGGTAGCATCTGGCTGCTGTAGAGACTGTAAAAATGAAAAAGCGACACAAATCATTGCGGGAGAAAAGCGCTCGACGCAGTGCTAGGAATGGGAAATGCGGACGCTGCCTCGCTGCGGCGCGGGGCAGACGGCCGAGCGCGGCCGCCCGGCGCCTNTCCCGCGGCCAGATGGCCCGCGGAATAAATCACGCGGCGCAGCGCGGCACGGCCGGCCTCCCGCGCCAGCCTTGGCCAGAGCGCCTCGCCGGCCGCGCGCTCCCCGCTCGCGCRCGGGCTGCCCCCGAGCTCCTTCCTCAGCTCCTGCTCCTCTTCCTCCTCCTCCTCCTCTCGCTGGCGTCGCCTTTCCAGAATTAATTTGCTGTGGTGCTCGCGCTCGGGAAGAAAGCCGCGGGACCGCCGAGTAAATAATAATAATCAAACAAATGGCCCCTCGGGAGAGCTTGCCGCCTAGGAAGGCGTTAATTAGCGCGCCGGCTCGCCTGCCGCGGCTGCGGGCGCCCCTAGGGCTGCGCGGCGCCGGCAGGGAGTGCGGGGCGCTGCTCGGCGGCTGCTCTCCCCGCTGCACCCAGGGCCTGCACCTATGGGCACACACGGGCGCCCGTGTGCCCGTGCAGGACGAWGGGGTGGCCGTGGCCTCGGTGAGCGCGGGTGCTGCTTGCGTGAGCGCACGGGGCCCCCCGGCCGCCCCTCGGCCCCGCACCCCTGCACCCACGCGTGGGGCGGCGGGGAAGAGCGAAGTCAAATGCCTCAAAGTCAGCTCCCTTTTTAGTATGAATTTGCTGTATCTCATTCCGAGCACTAATTCCAATTTAATTGCAAGTGGCCCGAAGCCTCTTCAATAGGAGTAACAAATGGTTTGATTTTGTAAACTTCATCAGACTGCATTTTAAATGCGACACACTCGCCCGGCTCGAATGCCAATGAAGCACTGAAGGAGCTCTCTGTTTACTAATTATCCGTTTTTACTTCAAGCCACGCTGGCTGGCTTGTCTGATTAAATCGGATTTGTGGGATAGAGAACAGCTCGCAGAGTTTTCTCTGWAGTAAACGAGATTGAAACTATGGCCCGCCTGGCTGCACACTGTAAATTATATTTCCTTTTAAAGGGGCCGTGGCTCTTTTATCCCGCCGGCCGCCCGCCTGCCCGCGCGCACGCTAAACTTGGCGGCCCGCGGCAAGCGCGGCGGCC